TAATCTGAAAGAGCAGGGGTGTTATGTGAAGTCCATAACTGAGTGTACAGGAACCACCAGTGTTGTTAAATCTGGAGCTATTAGCATTGGATTTCTGTAATATTATACAATACAGTATGAAACTTGACTTCTACAAAAGTAAACCCCACATTCATCAATAGTATTTACAACAGTGGTGCATTCACTTTACTGCTGTATGCATTAAAGGGCAGTTGAAGTGTGTGGGAAGGACTGGGTGAACCACCTACAGTATCTTAGGAAAAATGGTTAACAATCTGCAAAGTCAGGAATTTAAAAGTTTTAAACTTAACTGAACAAAATATACTGTTATGGTGCGAGCCATCAGGTAAGCACAAAAGCAGACCCAAGTGGCAGCACTCGAACTCAAAGCAATAGAAACAGTTTTATTGAAGAGCAGACAGAGGGGAAGAACACCAACTCAGCAGGTCTCACCAACAGAAGAGGAAGTCAACTGGACAGCTGGTAGAGCTGGTGAAGAAAGCAACCTGGGGCCATGTGGTGGGAGGACCACAACGGCTATACAAAGCAAAGGATGGTACAGTGAATGCCAGGATGGCAGGGGAAACGAGAATGCATGGAGTTTGGCTTGTATAGCTTCCCTGTAGGTCCTTCACCAGGGTTGGGCTGGGTCTCCTGTGCCTCCATGATCTTTTGCAGTCCCATGTGACTGTGGCCACCACACAGGGCACCGGCAAGATGGGGTCGGCCTTCTGATCATCCTGTGTGCACCCAAACTGTCTGGATAGGGTGTCAGGCTTAACATTCTTAGACCCAGGCCAGTAGGTGAAGGTGAAATTGAAATGCCTGAAGAAGAGGGCCCATCGAGCTTGGAGAGTGTTCAGTCGTTTAGCTGTCTGGAGGTGAGCCAGGTTCTTGTGATCCATCCAGAAGGTGAACGGACAGTCAGCCCCTTCTAACAAGTGCCTCCTCTAATGCCAGCTTAATTGCCAGCAACTCTTGATTACCCACATCGTAGTTCCTTTCTGCTGGGGACAGGTGGTGGGAGAAGAAGGTGCAGGGATGGACAGCACCATCCTGGTCCAACCTCTGGCTAAGGACAGCCCCCACTCCAGTGTCTGAGGCATCCACCTTGACTATAAACTGGCATGCAGGGTCCAGATGAATGAGTATTGGTGCTGAGGTGAACCTGCCCTTTGGGAGCTGGGAAGCTTTGTCCACCTCCTCAGTCCAGTTGAACTTGGTGGCTGTGGAGGTAAGCTTGGTGAGTGGAGTGGCCACAATGCTATAATTCTTAATGAAGTGATGGTAGAAGTTGGCAAAGCCCAGGAACCTCTGTAGGTCTTTCCTGGTGCTGGGAACTGGCCACTCCGCCATTGCACACACCTTCTCAGGATCCTCCCCTGCTCTATAATAAGCCCCATAACTTCTCAGCTTTCCCACAGAGGCGGTCCAGCAGGTGCTGGAGAACCTGGTGGACATGTTGGGTGTGTTCAGCAATAAGAGTATATCATCCAAGTATACAAAGACAAAACGGTTGAGGAAGTCATTGTTCATGAGGTTCTGGAAGATGGCTGGGGCATTGGTGAGGCCAAATGGCATCACCAAATATTCAAAATGCCCAAGTGGTGTCTTAAAGGCCATCTTCCATTCATCCCCCTTGCGAACTCTGACCAAATGGAAGGAGTTACGGAGATCAAGCTTGGTGAAAATGGTAGCTCCCTGGAGGGAGTCAAAGGCCAAATTGAGTAACGGAAAGAGGGGCAGCTGTGGCTTAGGAGGTAGAGCGGGTCGCCTTCTAACTGGAAGATTAGTGGTTTGATTCCCAGTTTGTCCAGTCGACATGTAGAAGTGTCCTTGAGCAAGACACTGAACTCCTGGTGATATCACCGGTGTGTGAATGTGTGAGCATTTGGGAGTGCGAATGGGTGAATAGCCAAGCAGTGTGAAAGCGCTTTGAGTGCGCTGTAAAGCATAGAAAAGTGCTATACAAGTATAAAACCATTTACCAAATGGATACTTGTTTTTGACAGTGATATTACTGAGGCCATGGAAATCAATACAGGGGTGTAAAGAGCCATCTTTCTTACCCACAAAAAAGAAACCCACGCTGAATGTAAAGGAGGAGGGACGAATGAGGCCGGAGTACAGTGACTGGTGGATATACTGCTCCATTGCCTCCTTCTCCAGTTTAGACAAACTGTAAAGTTTGCTATATGGTTAGGAGGCCCTGGGGAGGAGGTCAATGGAGGTGAGGAGGTAGTGAAAGGGTGAGGTCTTTATGAAAAACCTCTCCCACGTCATGATATTCCAACGAGACCTGGGAGAAGTCTAGGGGTTCAGGGTCTGGTTCAGGAGACAGGCAGCATGGTGGCGGGTTGGCAGAACAGAAACAATGTGCCATACGTGAGCGCCACGCGAGCATGGTTCCAGCCGCCCACTTGATATGTTGGTTATGGAGTTTTAACCAAGTGTAACCTAAAACCAAGGGTGACAGAGAAACTTATGAGGTTTAAGCAGATATCTTCTTGGTGATTACCAGAGAGTGTTATGGAACTGGAGAGGTATGGTGCATAACCCTTGCCAAAAAACAGCCATTAAGAGCATTGGATACGAGGGGGTATTCAAGGGGTTCAACTAGGAGACCGAGCTGGGCAAGCTCTTGATCTATAAAACTGTCTACCTCCTGAGTCTACAAAGGCCAGCAAAGGCATCAAATCAAAATCAAATCAAATTTTATTTGTATAGCGCCAAATCACAACAAAAGTCATCTCAGGACACTTTACAAAGTAAGGTCTAGACCTTACTGTTAAATATTATTACATAGGGAAAACACAACAAATCCCCTTGAGCAAGCACTTGGCGACAGTGGGGAGGAAAAACTCCCTTTAATGGAAGAAACCTCTGACAGACCCCGGCTCTTGGTGGGCAGCCTTCTGCCTTGACTGGTTGGGGTGAGTGGATAGAGGAGAGACAAAAGAAAAAAAGCAACAAGACAAAACAAACAAACACTGATCAGGTCGATGTGGCTGGTGACTGCTCGTCAGAGACATAGAGCTCCAGGGCAACCTGCAGAAAGGTACAGGGAGAGAGAGAGGACACACTACGAGAGAGAGGAGACACAAAGTTAGTAATGTGTAATGGTGGCATATAGAAGCATAGGGAGAGAGGGGAGAGAAGAGAAGAGCAGGAGGGGAGGGGAAAGAAACTCAAAGCATCATGGGGCCCCCCAGCAGCCTAGGCCTATAGCAGCATAACTAAGGGAAGGCTCAGGGTCACCTGATCCAGCCCTAACTATAAGCTTTATCAAAAAGGAACGTCTTAAGTCTAAACCTAAAGGTAGAGAAGGTGTCTGAGATTGGGAGTTGGTTCCATAGGAGAGGAGCTTGATAGCTAAAGGCTCTGCCTCCCATTCTGCTTCTGTGGACTCTAGGAACCACAAGTAAACCTGCACTCTGAGAGCGAAGTGCTCTGTTAGGATGATAAGGCTCTACGAGGTCTTTAAGATACGATGGAGCCTTGTCATTAAGGGCTTTGTATGTTAGGAGAAGGATTTTAAATTCTATTCTGAATTTTACAGGGAACCAGTGGACAGAAGCTAATATGGGAGAGATATGATCTCTCTTGCTAGTTCCTGTCAGTACTCTGGCTGCAGCATTTTGGATTAACTGGAGGCTTTTTAGGGAATTATTGGGACATCCTGATAGTAAAGAGTTACAATAGTCCAGCCTGGAAGTAACTAATGCATGGACCAGTTTTTCAGCATCACTTTGAGACAGGATGCTCCTGATTTTTGCAATATTGCACAGGTGAAAGAAGGCAGGTTTGGTTTATGTGTGATTTAAAGGACATATTCTGATCAAAGATGACTCCAAGGTTCCGCACAGTAGTACTGGAGGCAAGAGCTATGTCATCTAAAGTAACTATATGATTAGACAGCAGATTTCTAAAGTTTTCAGGATCAAGCACAATAACTTCAGTTTTGTCAGAGTTTAGAAGTAAGAAGTTGCAGGTCATCCAGGCCTTTATGTCTTTAAGACATGCTTGAAGTTTGACCAGCTGACCTGATTCATTTGGCTTCATAGATAAATATAACTGAGTATCATCTGCATAGCAATGGAAATTTATGTTGTGCTTCCTGATAATATTGCCTAAAGGGAGCATGTATAAAGTGAAGAAAATTGGACCTAACACAGAGCCCTGTGGAACGCCGTGACTAACTTCAGTTTGTGTGGAACATTCGTCATTAACATGAACAAATTGAAATCTTTCTGATAAATAAGATTTGAACCAACTTAGCGCAGTTCCTTTAATCCCAATAACATGTTCAAGTCTCTGCAGTAAGATGCTGTGATCAATGGTGTCAAAAGCAGCACTGAGATCTAAGAGGACAAGTATGGAGACAAGTCCTTTGTCCGAGGCTAGGAGAAGATCATTGGTGACTTTCACCAATGCGGTTTCTGTACTATGATGGACTCTAAATCCTGACTGAAAATCCTCAAACAAATCATTCTTGTGCAAGTGGTCACATAACTGCTTTGCAACAGCTTTTTCAAGGATTTTAGAAATAAACAGGAGATTGGATATTGGTCTTTAATTAGCTAGGACACCTGGGTCAAGAGTAGGCTTTTTGAGTAGAGGTTTAATTACTGCAACTTTAAAAGCCTGTGGAACATAACCTGTTAATAGAGAGAGGTTAATCAGATCTAGTATGGATGTGTTGATTAGGGGAAAGACGTCTTTGAGCAGCCTGGTCGGGATGGGGTCCAGGAGACATGTTGATGATTTAGATGAAGCAATTGTTGAGGTCAACTCAGAGAGATCTATAGGGGAGAAGTAGTCCAAGTATAAATGAGGTCTTACAGATGTTTCTAAAGCCATTGTAGTAGATGGCACATCTGCGAGAGCTGTGGGAGTGGTCCGACCAATTTTTTCTCTAATAGTTGTGATTTTATTTGTAAAGAAGCTCATGAAGTCATTGTTGCTGAGATCTAGGGGAATGTTAAGCTCAACAGCACTGTGGCTCTTTGTCAGCCTGGCTACAGTGCTGAAAAGAAACCTGGGGTTGTTCTTATTTTCCTCAATCAATGATGAATAAAATGCGGTTCTGGCACTACGAAGGGCTTTCTTATATGTTATTAAACTATCTTTCCAGGCTATGAAAAACTCTTCTGACTTAGTGAAGTCTGAATTGAAACAGTGTAGTAGAAAGGCAGAGACAAGATGAAGATTTACCAGTAACTCTGGTGTTACGGCCTTTTGGCCGTACTGAGCAGGTAGCAATACGATGACCTGTTTGTCCACAATAGAGGCAGAGGTTAGCAGCCAAGCTTCTCGCCCTCTCCTTCGCCAAGAGAGGAGAGCTCGCTGTAAAGGACTCACCCACACCAGAGAGCAGG